TTTATTAAATAAATTTATTTATTTATTTATTTATTTTTGCTCTTGCATATTTATATGCCCTTCTAAAAGCACGTACTTATATATTTTTCAGTTCCGTTTTTGCTTTTTTCTTTTTCTTCTATTTTCAAATGTGAGTTATCTGAGCTGAATTAGTGTATGCTTTTCAAGTGTCTGATCAACTTCTTTTGAATTTTGTTTGACTTGAAAACTCTGTTTAGGAGACGTTTAGTTTACAGATTTAGAATCATAATTTAAAATTATTTTTAATTTATGTGTGTTTTTCATGAGAAAAAAATATTATAACAAATTATGAAATCATGATTCGAACTATGACACGAATTTTTATATTAAACACTCTCTAAAATTTCACGTAAAAAGAGAGTTTCTATGAAAAATAAAAATAAAAATAAAAATTATGAAGAGAAGTGTTCGGCTCACAAAAGTGAAATTGGGAGTTATATGATGTACTTATTCCCATTAAAAGTACTACTTTTTGGTTACAGTTAATGTGTAGTGTACACGACATTGTATAATATTTAATGAGTTTTAATATAATTTTACTACAAGGTAAAACTTAAATAAAGATAAATATGATTTCGTCGGGTATTTATAAATTTAATGGGTATAAATATTAATGATTCTTTATTTATACTGTCGGTCAATATTTTTTGATAGGTTGTGAATTTAAAGAGCAATATTATGACATCATTCTCAGAAACGACAAAATCCTCTAATGGTAACAAATCTGAGAAAGACACAATTTTGCAACGACAAAATTTAGAATATATAATAACACATTAATACATTAAATTATTAAGTGGATGCCACCATTTGATATTCTATAATCTATATATATATATATATGACTTCTTATTTAGATTTTACTTAACATTATTATTTTCTTAAACTATTGTGTATTATCTCCTCATAATTACTTATGTAATCTATATCATTTCTTATTACTTCTACTTATGATGCTTAGTCTATAAATAGAGGATGTATGAGTAAGTATTTGACTTACTAGCAATTAAACGCTGTTAAGTTAATGTTATATTTCCGGAATTTTAATATAATTTAGATGATGAGTGCTAAATAATGATAATTTTATGTTATTTAGATTTGAAATGACACCAATGAAAAGATTATTTTTGTTAAGAATTCATAATTTAGGAAAACAAATGTTACATTTTAAACATTAAAGAGGTAAAGTGTTATATAAGTGATAATTTAGGAAAATTTTTATAATTAATCTAAAAAAAAATAACAATTTAAAACTATTTTTATTGCTTTTTTTTTTCGCATCATGCTTAAAAGTTCTCCTTAAATTTGAATAACATGCTACTAGCCCACTACTAATGGTAGGATCTGACAACTCAAAAATGTTTGTCCATTGCACGGTTTATTATGCATCTACAAATTCAGGAGAAATATCAAAAAATCATAATTGATGATAATTGTTCTTGATTTTTTAATTATGGTCTATTAAAAAGCAATAACATTTATCGTTGTCACTTTTATTTATTTTTTAAAATGATAATTTTCTTTTTCCATAGCGTTTTTCTTTTGTTTTTTTTTATTGGTTGAAATCTAGAATGGCTTTCGTACATACACTTTCAAACCCTTTGGCTAAATGACAAAAAAAAAAAACCCAATCCAAAATGGATACATGACTGACAATTTACTCTACTCTCATCCAGAAGAAATGTAAACTGAGGATGAAAAATACTAGGATATAAATATAATAAATATAAATAAAAGAGAATGTCCATCTAGCCCTTATTCAAGGAGTGCAATTGTTGGGTGAAAAACACTCGGGGCATAATCCGGTACTAAACACCACATGTGAACTTATATTACAAACAAGACTCATTTTTATTGGTGGGCAGTGCTCGACATCACTGGTGTCTTATAATATTATTTTATTAGACAAGTGTAGTTGTTGCATGAACACTTTAAAATGGTAAAAACTCTTAAAAATTTAGGGGTTATTCTTTTGGAGTGTAATTTGAGTGTAGTTTTTGAGTTGAATTTGAGTTATAACTTGAGTTGAAGTTGTAACTTGAATAAAGTTGAGTAAAATTGAATAAAGTTAAAACTTAAAAGAACATGAACTTGAATAAAGTTAGAACTCGAGTTATCTTTTTTTGAGTTTTTTAGACAAAAGAACAACCCCTTAAGTACTCGACTGAACTATAAATACTCGCCGCTAAATTGCTAGATTTCTTTTACTTGCTTGTATAATCCCAAATTGAAGGGAACTCAATTTCTTGTTGAATAAACATTTTAAGGGCAAACCTGTTTTTTTATTTGTTTTTTAGATAGTAACTGAAAATCAACTATTAGAATGCCTAGTTGTTAAATATGGACCAACTTAGATAGTAAGTGATCGTCAACTATTAGAATACCTAGTTGTCAAAAATGGCAGTAAATTATGCTTCTCCCAACAAATCATATTGATGCTAGCGTTCTAATTTAGTCATTGGAATTAGCTTTCGAAAATGACTACTTGAAAGGGGTAGTGTTTCTAGTTGCTATTGATTTATATATATATATATATATATATATATATTTGTTAACAATTCTATCAGCTCAGCCAGAAGAATGTCTGCTTTCTCGCAAATAATTGGGGGATGACTGATTTTTGGCAAGAAAAATGGCCTGCTTCCACATATTTTCAGATATTATGGAGAATAGTGGCTTATGACTTGTCCAAATGGGATTTATAGGCAGCGCTATACAGAATCCTTGTAAATATTTGGATACGTATTTTGTTGTCGATATTTTGAAGATTTTGGGCGATGGAGGTGAATATATATACAGAAATCCACGTAATACTTCCCTGTATCTCTCTCGCGGAATCACGGAGTTACACTCGCACCTTTATACTTTTTGCTTGAATTACAAAACAAAAACATTCTTTTCATCAAAATATTTCATGTAAATTACGAAAAATAACCCATAAAGTGTAACTTCTCGTTTTTAAGAGTCGATTCAGATTTCACTGGTCTATATAAAATACATGTAGGGGGTACTTAAGAAAATGATACACTTAGCGAAAAAACAATGCTCTTAGCAAAATGATTTCTTAATAATTTTTTTACCTGTAACGATTTCTTAAATTTAACACAAATAGTCATGTGTGCATCACGTGATAACTTAAATTTTTTAAAAAAAAACTTACTTTATATTAAAATTTTCGCTTTATTAAAATTAAGATTATTAAAAACTATAACAGTTTGCAACTTCATTATATGCAAAATTTTCTCTTTGTTATGATTAACATTATGTGATATTAATGTTAGGAAACAAAACAGTCAAAATTGAAAGTTCAGTGATTAATATGCCAAAATTAAAGGTGTCATTTATTCAAAGTTCAAAGACTAATAGTGTTACTAAGGCCTCGTTCACTTCGCGGATTCGAGTTTTTAATTCGAGCTGAGATGTGACATTTTCTGAGAGCTTTTCATTGTAGCAGAAAAAGTTAGATGTGACATTTTCTGAGAGTCTTTTACTGTAAAAACTTAAAACTGAAAACTCAAATCGGTGAAATGAACGAAGCCTAAAACAACTCTCATTTATAAGGATCTTACTTTTAGACCTCAACACTTCGTATACGAACTGATATCATATATATGCATATGCTTAATAACCATATTTTGGTTGCGTCGTTCGTGATTTTGGCTAGCTAAATTCGACCAAGTAAATGGAAACATTGATAACAATTGATTAATAATATTTTGAAAAACAGGACAGTGAATATTCAACTCGTATTCTTTCAAAATATATATATATATATATATATTCAACTTGTATATTTTGAAAAACGGTTTAGTGACTATATTTAACTTGTTTATTTTGCTCCAAAACTTGGTGAAAACTTAATAAAGCAAGAAAAAGGTAGAGTACGTGTTGAATAATTCGAAAGTTTATTTGAATTTTAAAAAAGAGATTATCTTTTTTCTTTTTTTTCCTATCCTGATCTTATCAGGATAGATTTAGTTAGTATTTTTAGGTGTTAGTTTAAAATAAAGGACCTGCGTATACTATAATCTAGGAATTAGTTTGTTTCTATTCTGCAACAATAGCTAGACGTTCTCTATTTACATAGAATGTAATTTCCACAGTTTAATGAGAATAATTATTTTCTCAAAGAATTCTCGTCTCCGACTTTCCTGTCAAATATTATGTCAAAAATAAGGAAAAAGTGCAACATTTCCCTTTTATAATAATCACTTTTCTATTATTATTGACCTCTTTAATCATAATCACTCATTTTTTTAAGAAAAGATACACTAATGAACAAATGAGGTAATATTGGCGTCATATTAAATTTTAAGGATCAATTCTAAAAGAATTCAAAATAATATCTAAACTAATCACATCAATGCGTCCTTTTAAAAAATTTAAATTGAAGGATTCAAACCATGTGATTCGAACTATTTTTGATTTACGTGTATTTTTTGTGAGAGAAAATACTGTAGCGAACCACGAATCATGATTCGAATCAGAGAACGAATCTCTCTACCAAACGCAATGTTTTAAGTACATTAAATACATTGCAAAATGTGATTCGTACTACTAAAAAGTTCTCAAATTGTCAATGTTACTACGTAAAATACACAACCATACATTTAGAAATTAACCTTTCAAATATCAGTCTTGAAACGAATTTTACGAGATAAACCAAAATGAAGCCACAATGTGAATCAAATATTGACTACAAATAAATACCATTATGCCAATATTGGCTTAAAATCACTACAGGTTCGTTTGGTATGAGAATTCAAGTAAATGTGATTCTAATTATGATTTTAGAATCAGAACCATGATTTATGATTTTGGGTTCAAATCATTGTCTGAAATCATGATTCAGAATCATGGGTTTGAATAATCTTGAATCAAGAGGGGGGTGATTTTAGAATCATGAGTGATTCTGGTTTAAAATATCACATCAGATTATGAATCATGATTCAAAATCTTCAAAACCAAACATTGATTTTGAATCATGATTCAGAATCACTGTAAACAAACATGATTCATTGTTGGATTTTAAACCAGGATCTAAAATCATAATTCTGAATCCATCTACCAAACGAACCCTACATAATTGGGGATGAAAGTAGTAGAAAAGTTGCTAGCTAAAGAGGAAAAAAGTTGCTGCCAAAAATACCTCATAATAATTAGGAGGTCCATATTCAAATATGGCAAGGCTTATTAAATGAGATGCAGAAATTGCAAGCAACTAAAAAAACAATAAATGTAATAATAATTAATCTCAAGGGCATTTTGGTCCTCCTTCCTTAGTCTTCCAGTTGTTGTAGCAAGGGCAGACTTGCTTGTTGCCGTAAGTACCAGGAGGGACGCATAGACATTTGGCGCAACACTTTTGGCAGAAGAACATGCATGGCTTCTTGTGTGATGTTGCGGAGCAACGATATGTACACTTTGGCTTGCAATCTGCATAAATATACAAAAATATTTGTCCAACAATTATATTTTTGTTCCTTTTTTGAATAAAAATGCTTTATTATAATAGGTATAAAAATGCTTGATGATTAGACCTTTTTTTTTTTTGAATAAAAATGCTTTATATATATATACACACACCTTGAGGACGAAGCTTTCCACGACCATGGGCCTGATGCAAGGAAACACATAATAAAAATGAAAATCAGAACACATTGATGGATAATATACATAGTTTTTGCTGAATTAGACATATATTAAAGTAGTTTTAGTGACAAAATATATATAAAGACATTACCTCAGCCAAATTAGAAAATGTGACCAAAAGAAGCAGAGCAAGGACCAAGAGGAGGGAAGTGTACGGACGAGCAGCAGCCATTATTTTTTTTCTTTGGAGACTATATTCTCTAAGTCCCACACAGTTTCTGTTTGCGAATCACACGATAGATTTGATTATTTATAGAGGGAAGAAAAGGTGGGATTTTGGTTAAAAATTTAAATAGCCAAAATTAAAGGGGTAGAAAAAGGAACGAAATAGGCGAAATTTGAGGCATGAAAAGGGGGCCAAATTGTGAAAGTGACAAACCAAAATGTGAAGTATGGGATATGCAATGCATGTGAGAGATATGGTGAAACTAGGCGATGAACACGGCGGGTTTAATGTTGGGTTTGTTTTGCTTTTGCTTTTTTCGTCAACTTTTTAGGTTTTGCTTCCATCTTTTATTTTTGTCTTCTTTCCTTCTCACTATATAGGATCTTTTCCAACTGATAATACTATATTCAAATTCCTGAATTTTAGAAGGTAGCAAAACGGATCATTTTGGATTTTTCCCCCTTTTTCAGCCTTTTGTTTTAATACGAATTCTAAAATTTAAAAAAAAAAAATTGTCATTTTACACGTTACCTTTAAGATTCTAAAATGTCATCTTTGCACATTTCCCTAATTAATTTTTATGGTAGTAATATTGTAAGCAATTGCAAAAGTACGTCATTTTTCTTTTTCTTTTTTATCAACTTATGTATCACCAATTCTAGTTATTTACGATTGCATATGTAGCTAATGTAATTTCCTACCTGATTTTTCCACAAAATGTCTATTTAAACCATCCCCAATTCAAAAGAAAACATATATATATATATATATATACACACATCATTAACAGTTATCAAATTATAAAAATTTGTGAACATAGGATAGTATTTACTCAAGAAGGAAAAAAGAATGCTATGCTCGTCATCGTTTTTTGTTTTGGTAGAAACCATCATCATTTTTTATTCCAATTAACGAAGTGCTCTCATCCGGAAAAGATTTTCATTGATTTTAGTATAATGTTAGTTTTTTTTCGGTCCATCATCACTTCACATTTAGACGTAGGCATAGATGAGATGTCCTCTTTATTTTCATAATTCATAATAACAATAACAAAACAAATGGAAAAATGCTTAGAGGTGTTCAAGTTTAATAACATACAATTAATAGAAGACGAGTCTCATTTATAAGACACATATTTGAAAAACTCAATTAGTAAAAGATAAGTCCTGTTTATAAGCCTCATACATTCACACGGACCTTTTATTAGTTCTCTGTAGCTATTGTTCTAACAAAGACCATACCGAAAAAGAGTTTATTGTGTGAATACCGTACCAATATTAAGGGAAAGAATGTGGTTAGTGGTTACAAGTTGGTATAATTAATCAAATGTTTGTGTCACTTATCCGACTACACACGATAACCCAATGTGACTATGTTGTAACAAACCGTGCGCGCGGTAGAGTAGGTTTGCACATGTAAACACTTAATTTAGTTAGAAGCACATGTTGTGAAAACTTTTCTGCTAGATTTAATAATATGATATATTTGTCCTAATGCAGTACGGAATGTGTAGGATGTGAGCTAACATTGCCGTTCATTGTTAACATTTCTTTCTTTGTGCTACAACCATTTTCTTTTTCTTTTTTTAGTAAATTGTGCTTCATATACATATATATATATATATATATAATGGGTGATGGGACCACGCACCATGTGATCTTTAAGTCATATGGCACGCTAGTCAAAGTAAAGTATAACTAATATTCCATATGATAACAGTGTGGGGTTATATATATATATATATATATATATATATAATTGTTTAATAATAGTATGATTGAACCGAAGGTCCCTAGTATTACAACTTAGAAGTAACAATAAGTCGTTTATTAAGTGGCGTAGAAATGACACTCAACTAACACGTGATAACTTCGCAATGTCTTATCGCAATTCACAAGTGGAATATAGCGCATGCTTTCTTAATACAAGTTACCTATGCTAATTGTAATAAGAGAACAAACCAAGTTGTGGTTTCTTGAGCAACAGGGGGGAAAAGAGGAAGAATGGGGCAAGGCAAAATTTTTACAACTTTTCTAAGAATGACTATACTTGTGATTTAGATGGGTATGCTTTAGAAAACCATTTTTAACGCATGGTGATAAACATGTTTTTTTTTTTTTTTTTTTGTTTTAACGAAGATAAAAGTTTGAAAGTTGTCCTCGAAGAAGTTTTACCTATGATAATGGGTTATTTTGGGGATAACTAAAATTTCATTAATAAAATGCTTCAGATTCCCGCACAATTTGAAATCAGAAACAGCAAATGAGTTGTTTTTGATTTCAGATGAAAAATAGTTTCTGAATTCTTTAAAAATCTATTTTTATGTGAAAAAAAAAAGTGGGGTCCGTTCACTTCGCTGATTCGAGTTTGTAATTCGAGTTGAGATGTGATTTTATGTAAGACTTTTTTACTGTAGTAAAAAAGTTAAATGTGATTGTTTGAGAGAGTTTTTTACTGTAATAAAATTCAAATTCTAAACTCGAATTAATAAAGTGAACAGGGACGTGATTTTAGCTTTTCAAAATCTCTACTAAACGAAGTCAATATTTCATATCCAAAAACGTTTAATAAAACATGAAATGTCGTCCCCAAAAAGTACGCACCTTTAATGATAAGAATGTGCATCGTAAAAGGTCAAGTTATCGGCGCTAAATGATTGCTTTTGGACATTTACATTGCAGTCAACACCCAATGTTTTACTTTCTATTTTTCAATTTTCACCCATTAACGTGAAGATTGTTTTTCGGGTAAAATAGTTGTAAAATTATTCAACTACCACCCAACGGAGTCTGACACATTTTCATCCAAAAATCTGTCACTGATTTCAAAGTTTCAAGTCTACCAACTATGCAAATCAGAGGAGAATTCTATAATAGGTTATGAAGAGTAAAATTTAAAACGACAGATTCTTTATTAGAATTTATTAGTTTTATAGGGTGCGTTTGGAATTAGTTCCAAAATGTTTTTATTTTCTGTACGAAAATAAAAATGAAAACGTTTTTAGTTTCATTTTTGAATTATTTCTAAAAATGCGTTTGGTAGTTTTATTTAGAGATTGATTTCAGTTTTAAAAAAAACTGAAACTGCGTTTGGTGGTTTAATTTTTGAAAACATGTAATAATATATTAAATAATAATATATTAAATATATATTAAATAAATA